AGACCCCCTCTTTGTCCGACCAACGAAATTGATGTGCTAGTAGAAGGTGTTGTTGTACGTGCACTTGTCGACACAGGCACCGTCGTTTCTGTAATTAGTGAAAAACTGTGTCGCGATTTGAGAAAAGTTACAACGCCGCTTACGAATCTTGCTCTGCGTACAGCCACCTCCCATTTCATCGCGCCGACAGCTCAGTGCACAGCACGCGTTCTTATTCAAGATGTTTGGTACGCCGTCAACTTTGTTGTTCTCCCACGTTCATCTTACGACGTCATACTAGGATGGGATTTCCTTTCTACCCATCAGGCCCTCGTCGACTGCGCTCGCGCTGAACTCACGCTGACGAATCCGTGCCTTGATATAGACCACCACGGTCCCTCGAAAGTGTTTGCCGCAGCTGACGTCCGCATCGCGCCGTTGTCCGCCGTCCTAGTGCCTGTGTTTTCCCCTGCTGCCACTAACTCGACGCTCCTGTTCCAACCAACTATTGCAATATATAGTGTGCAACACCGAACCATCGTCCTCCCGTTTGCCGTCATCAACTTTTCCAATGGTTCGGCGGTACTTTATGCGTGCAACGTTTCTGCTTGTCCGTACATCCTGCTACGCGGTGAGTGTCTGGGAAGCCTCGAGACCTTAAATTGTATTTTCGAAGACCCGATCTATCCAGACAAGCCATTTTTACTGACTTGTGCCATTACACCCGCAACTGACGCCAATGAACCTATCGATGTATTCCGCAAGTCCATTGATTGTAACCTCACGCCTGGGCAGCAGAAACAGCTGATCAAGCTCCTACAGCGTTTTCGAGCCTCGTTTGACTACAATCAGCCTTCCTTAGGTCGGGCGTCATCTGTTGTTCACCGTATAGATACCGGTCAAGAGACGCCATTACGGCAGCGTCCATATCGTGTGTCAACTACCGAACGCCGTGCCATCAATGAACAGGTTGACGACATGCTGACACGTGGCATAATCGAACCGTCAAGCAGTCCCTGGGCCTCTCCAGCTGTGTTGGTGAAGAAGAAGGACGGATCCATCAGGTCTTGCGTGAACTACCAGCGTCTCAACCGAATCACGCGCAAGGATGTCTATCCGCTGCCACGCATTGACGATGCCTTGGACTGCCTACAGGGAGCCGAATTTTTCTCTTCTTTAGATCTGCGCTCTGGATACTGGCAGGTACCCATGGCAGAGGCCGATCGTGAAAAAACTGCTTTCATCATGCCCGACGGGCTTTACGAATTCACAGTCATGCCCTTCGGCCTCTCCAACGCGCCAGCTACTTTCAAGCGGATGATGGACTCTATCCTTCGAGGCCTCAAATGGAACGTTTGCCTTTGTTATTTAGACAATATTGTCGTCTTTTCAACTGACTTCGCAACCCATTTAACCCGCCTCGAGAAAGTCCTCGCGTGTATTTCTGCCGTGGGGCTGCAACTGAATCTGAAGAAGTGCAATTTCGCCGCTCGAAAGCTTACGATCCTTGGCCACGTGGTTTCAAAAGACGGCATTCTTCCTGACCCTGCCAAACTTACAGCCGTTTCAGCGTTTCCCAAACCGACCACAATGAAAGAGCTCCGAAGCTTCATAGGCCTTTGCTCTTACTTCCGGTGCTTCGTCCACAATTTCACGACGATCATCGCTCCTTTGACGAAGCTCCTCGCCGGCTCTAGAGACCTTTCAGCCTGGTCTGCCACCTGTAACGACTCTTTCAATGAACTGCCCCGCCTCCTCACGTCACCGCCTATTCTGCGACACTACGACCCATCGGCACCCACAGAGATCCACACCGACGCTAGTGGTGTCGGGCTAGGCGCTATTCTTGCTCAGAAGAAAGACGGCTTCCAAGAGTACGTGGTTGCCTACGCAAGCCGAACTCTTAGCAAAGCCGAAACCAACTATTCTGTCACTGAAAAGGAATGCCTCGCCATTATTTGGGGATTGAGAAATTTCAACGTTACGTGTACGGGCGCCCTTTTGACGTCGTGACTGACCACCACGCCCTCTGCTGGTTGTCGTCACTGAAGGATCCAAGCGGTCGCCTCGCCCGATGGGCATTACGCCTCCAAGAATATAATATTCGCGTGGTCTATCGCTCCGGCCGGAAACATTCGGACGCAAACGCCCTATCCCGTTCGCCTCTACCCCCTGACCCGAACTGCTGCTAAAGTCTAACCTGTGATGCCACTGCCGTCACCATCGCCAACATGCCATCTGAGCAACGCAAGGACCCTTGGGTTTCTTCGATTCTAGACATTCTGGCTGGGCACACGGCTTCCCCCCCTTCTCGCACGTTGCGTCGGCAAGTCGAGCACTTCGCCACTCGCGACGACGTGCTGTACCGACGCAACTACGCACCCGGTGGACGTCAGTGGCTACTCGTGATTCCACGTCATCTGCGATCCGAAATTTGTTCCACGTTTCATGACGACCCCCAATGTGGCCACGCAGGTTTCCTGAAGACTTATTCTCGCATACGTCTCCGATATTACTAGCGTGGCATGTACCGTTTTATACGACAATACGTTCGGGCCTGCTCGACGTGCCAGAGACGAAAAACTCCCCCTTATCACGCTAGCGGTACCTTGCTACTCTTACCATGCCCATCCCGACCATTCGACCGCGTCGGCATCGATATGTATGGTCCCTTCCCAACACGGCTGACGGTAACCGCTGGATCATAGTTGCTGTCGACCATCTCACGCGGTATGCCGAAACTTCATCCCTTCCCTCGTCTACAGCAAAGGACGTTGCGACTTTCGTTCTTCACAACATCGTATTACGGCATGGAGCACATCGGGAGTTACTGAGTGATCGTGGTCGCGTATTCTTGTCAGACGTCATCACAGCATTGCTGCGTGAGTGCCACGTCGTTCACCGCACTACAAGCGCCTATCATCCCCAGACCAATGGAATGACAGAGCGCTTCAACCGCACCCTTGGTGACATGCTGTCTATCTATATCTCGTCAGACCACTCCAATTGGGACCGAGTGCTCCCGTTTATCACGTTCGCTTATAATACCGCCATTCAAAGCACTACTGGGTTCTCTCCTTTTTTCCTCGTTTACGGACGCGAACCTTCTTGCACTATGGACACCATTCTTTCGTACAAACCTGACTCCTCAGAGTCCACGACTTTGTCTCAAGCCGCTACATACGCTGAAGAATGCCGCCAACTGGCAAGATCATTCACAACCCAAGACCAAGGACGCCAAAAGCACCACCATGACGCATCAAATAACACTACTTCCTACGATCCAGGTTCACTCGTCTGGCTGCATGTCCCTTCTGCTACACCTGGTCTTTCTACCAAGTTGGTTCCCAAGTATCACGGCCCATATCGTGTGCTACAAAAAACGTCACCGGTGAATTACTACCTCATCGAGCCACTGGAACTATCTTCTGACCAACGTCGTCGTAGCCAGGAAATTGTCAACGTCTCGAGACTTAAGCCCTGCTATGACCTTCCCGTGTTTACTTGTCCATAGGTCGCCAGGATGGCTCCTTATTTCGCGGGAAGTAATTGTAACGAATCTGAATAACGGACGCTCTGCTGGTAATGAAGACGACGATGATGATCGGTGGCTGCAGTAGTAGCTCACGCACGCCGCTCGCCATTAGCCAGACCTGCCTGATAAAGGACATTTGCCAAGCTACGTCTGAACCTTTCTCGACGTACAACACCTCTATTTTAGTTCTTTGATGAGATGAAGTTTCCATTGCGGCACCTATCCTTCCGTCTAGCATAAGTAAACCCGGCACCAGAACATTGTAGGGCACCACCACACAGGGCTCGCTTCTTCATAAAACACAATTATTTTGGAGTGAAGCTTTGTTTTAAGGAAACTCCGCAATAATAAATTGCCCAAAATTTTCCCGACCAAGCCATAATTAATGAGTTGAAGTAATACAGCGAGAATATTTGCAAGCAATCCTTCCAAATTTATTGTAGTGCGTTCGAAATCATAACGTCCTTGTTCTTCAAAAAGCAAATCACTTTTAGTATTAATTGGAAAAGGGGTCTAGCTTACAATCATAATACTACGTGCCATGACAAACGTTGAGTTAATGAACAAGAAAATTCTGCATCAAGAACGTGCATCAAGAACACTACACATTCTGATATCAATACAACGCCGCTATATTCCGTTTCATACATCAGGTGCAACGCTGTGAAGGCTAGGCAAGTAGTCCGTAAAGAAAACACGAGGTGTTGCTCCGCGCGGTTTCGTAGCCGAGTGGTCTGACGCGTCGCTCCGAAGAGTTCACCGAAGTTTTGAAGTGCATGGGTTCGAATCCACGTGGTGCCATTTTTTTAATAATTTTTGCGAGTTCAATTTGAAATTTTGTTTTTTTTTTTCAGTAACTTCAACTTACTTACTGACAGCTTTGATGTGCGAAGCTTCGAAAAAATTCGCGCAGGAGAGGTGGTTGAGGACGCAGAGCTGGACGCCATTTTTTTGAAGCTGTTACAACAAGTAAAAAAAAAACGGCGGCGCGGGTCGCGCGGAGAGCGAAAAAACCTGATACGAAAGCGACAAACATAGATTACCAACTGGCATATTTAGATTGTTTATCCGACAACACAGGCGTTTGTTTGTTAACCTGATGACAAATATGTATGCTTAGAAGTTTCCCGAAAAGCATTTATTGATTCTCGTACACCCCAAGCAACGCACTACTTTTTGGTCGCGGCAGTACACAGCGCAAACAAGAGCGCTAGCTTTTTTTTTATAGCTACTACGGACCAGCTAAAGCATTTCAGAAGTCTGAAAACTTACCAATAAACTATTTGTACTGCCATTGCAAAAAACAAATAAAAAATTACGCTCAAAAGTGTAGAACAGCCCCCCATACAGGGCCGAGTAGAAGAGGTTCAAGGCACATACAAGCAGTCCTTTAAATTCCACTATATTTCTAGTTCCCATTTTTTACCCCTATCGCACCATAAAATAAACAGGGGACGCAATGTAGCAGCGTAATCTAGCGCTGAGTTCACGCCATAGATGCAGGCAACGTGCACATGCCGAAGAAGCAGCAAATTTTCCAGCGCATCGCCAGAAGACACGGCCTGCTTGTCGGTTCCAGTTGCACGAGCATGCATAGCTCCTGGTTCCTCTGGTAGAAATGCCTGTACTCCGTTCGGCCCGAGAACTCCTCCAGAGCCTTGCGAGCTGACCTAGTGTACAGCTGCCACACAGCACAGCTCTCCTCTTTCTGCAGCGAAATTCAGCTATAAGTTTCGCTCAGGTTGTCCAAGTGGAGCCAGTTGCATACATCTACTTAATCGTCACCTAAATAACAATAATATCTGGGAGTTTACGTCCCAAATCATGATAATATTATGAGAGACGCCTTTGTGGAGGGCTCCAAAAATAGGGGTCGTTTGGTGTCTTCACCGAGCACTGAAGTCGCGACCGCCACCATTTCGCCTCCACCAAAATGCGACTACCACGGCCGGGTTTGAACTCTTGGCTTTCGGGTAAGCAGCAGAGCACCGTAGCCACTGATCCACCATGGTAGACGACCTTCACCAGCTAAACTTTTGAGCAATGCAGAGTAAAGACCTGTACCCCTGATCAAGTAATGATTGATGTCGTTTGACGTTCCAAGATCACGATATGATTATGAGAGATGCCACGGTGGATTGGGTCCGAAAACTTTGCCCACTCGGAGACCTTTAACGTGCACGTAACTATAATTACGTGGGCTTTGAACATTTTAGGATCTAAGCACACGGGGCTCAATAACTTTCGGGCAATGTACAGATTCACTCATCGCTCGGAACAAATGTAGCAAACTGATGTAGGCACTAACGATACGGTAACATAACTTTGGCTATGTTGCCCTGCGTTTCTTTTGTATTTCAATCTTTAACTCAAAAGTAAGTATACTGAATACGCTGTGAATATGAATGCGTGTTTTAATGCGCCTGTTATGTGGTCTTCTTTGTCTCGCGTTAATTTCTGGCTCCTTTTCTTTGTCGTGAATTGCCAACACTCCTGAGAGTGTACACTTCAAGCCTGAACGTGCGCACGCCATCCCTAATCACCCAAACAAGGCGTTACGTCTGGTCAATACTTTTCTTTAATTTGACCTGCTTTATTAGTGTTGAATGTGCAGAGCTATGCACATTTTCTACAATGGCGCTGTTTTCGTCAGCATGTTGCACTAAAAAAACTGTTCACTTCCCTCAATTGCAATCAGCCCCCCCCCCTTTAAAAGTAACATACAAAACACAGGGCATTGTGAGATACATTCGATCACTCCATTTACGGCTTCTCTCCCTCAGCTGCGGTGAAGCTTCATCACACCTAAATATGAATTCTGCTCACGCCTATGCTTCAATATTTTTCAACGTGCTATTCCAGTACGCTTGAAAACACTAAACCACCTCTCAGGAGTACCGAAGAAAGTCAAATGGAGAATAGCCAAGAAAAGAACGTACCTGGAGATACGTTAGCAGTCCCACCAGGGCATGGATTGACACCATACGCCGCACTGTCAGCGCCACCATGTCATCCAGAAATTTCGCCCTGCTGTTCACGTTCAGGACCGTGTGGTTCTGTAGCAGCTGACGTGTCAGGAGGGCCACGTTGTCTGCGTCGTACTGGACGCGGAAGTACGACACCGTGGCCACGTTTACAAGGAACCACGAAGAGCTGATATCTCGCGCCAAACTGCAAGACGCATTGCGAATATGACTTAAAGATATGAAACAGTGCACGTGCTCATATAAGGTACCACAGAGCCTGACGATTGATATCTCTGTTTTCCCATCTACCTTGCGTATCTGAACCAATTTTACGTTCACCGTAAAAAAAGACTAGTAGGAGCAGCACTAAAATCTGGCACATGCATAGCCCCATCTGGCCCACCTCCGGTTGTGTTCGTGTAGCTGGCTCTATTCTCTGCACAACTACGCAATGAAACATCCCTTTGTAGCTCAACGGTTTTTTTTAAGTGCAATACATTCAAAGCTGCAAATTCATGTACGCCTAATTTGGTGCGCTCATTTATTCCGTCTCCCTCTGGTAAAATGCAGTTCCACCGTTTCACAACTAGACGCTCCGCGGATTTCATGGCCGACTGTTGTTTTTACCCTATGCCTTCTCTTAGAGGACCGCTCATGGATCAGAGCTCTAACAAGGTCTTCTCCAACCGTCTCCCACTCTTTTACTCTCCTCTCAACCTTCTTTTCTATCTCTTTTAATCCCTCCTTATCCCTTCTCTTGTGAGCTACTGCTTTGATGCAATTATTCGCGGAGCTCACTTTACATTTTTTTCCAATTTAGGAATCACTTCCCTCTTCCCGTTACACAGCCGTATTGGCACGTTCACTTGTGCCCCAGCTTGCTCTACAAGCAAGTAACACTTCGCAATACTGCGATAGCGGCAAGAACGGTCATGGATAGCCGGACATTGTGATCGCTGATAAAGCACGTGGTTTCGATGTGTACATATTCTCTAGTACCAGTGTTAGTTCTAAAATAAGCTCGACTCCTTCTCAGATATGTCGTATGAGCAGTCTGATCAGAAAATTCTTAAATGATCACAAAGCCTCCCATACGTTCAGGCGTGGCCTGTGCCTGGCGTTAGTAGCACGTGTAGCATTCACTTGTGAACAAATGAGCGCTCGTGGCATTATAAAGGTGCTGGACATGCAACCAGACATTATCCTATTTAACAAATGCAAAGCTGTAACTCTGAATTCGTCTGCTAAATGCCCTATTTTGTGAAGTCAACCTAATTCATCGGCTTCCCACGATAAAATTATTGCCGCACTGCATCACTCCAGCAGAGTTTTTCCTCATTTTTGCCCTACCTTTATCGTAGCCATCTGCCTCAGCAGCATTGCCGAATAACGCGTTAGTTCACCGTCTTCAGCAATCCAGACAAGATATCAGGGCAAACACTAGAGATGGCGCGTCGGGTGCTCACTTGTATCGCTGTATGGTTCCCCTGAACCAGAAGGCACCCTCTTCGGGAACGTGGATTCCTCCCTGCACGTTCAGAACGAACGGCACTGGCCACACGAGCGTGTAGTTGCAGTTCGTGTCCTCGAAGCATGGCCAGCCCTGCGGGTGCCATTTCATTACTGGTCAGGGTACTCTTCGCGTAGTCACGGACTCTCTTCTCAGAGCAGTGTAATGTGTGGATTGAAACAACAGTGGACATTACGGCATAAGGCTACCTGACTAGAGTCATGTTATATTGCCGTCAAACAGACAAAACGCACAGGCACGCGTAAATTGCATAAAATACTGCGCTATCTTAATGACATGCTTTGACCGCAAATGACCGCTTGTGCTTGTCGTTGAGTGTCATTTTACTTTGTGTGTGTGTGTGTTATTTGCGGCCAAAGCATGTCATTAGGCAAGTACCAAGTAGGCCAACAATCAGTATTGTTACTACGCTATCATAGCGCTTTGCAGCCTTTCTCGTGCATGAAAATACTGCTAGTGATGCTTGTTTTGCAGTACAGCCGGTAACAAACGCCTTTTAGGTGGCTGCCATCACAATAGTCTAATGTATCGCATCTTAACCTGCTTAAGGAGTGATGCCATGAAGGATTGTTTCATACCGGTTTCGCAAACTTAAAGTTAAAAAGCACATTACTTAACATTGAAATCGTACTACAGGTGCGTTTCTGATCTGTCTGCAGGCCTGACTTCACCACCGTAGCCCGTAAAAATAGGTAGAACCTCCTACTCAAGAGTTAGGTATCACTGCCACCGATTCACTGATGGCACACTTATGCACAGGGAGATGCCTCCCATCGGAAGTTATTATCTTGTTAGTGCGTTCAGTGCGCACGACCACATAGACTTTCCTATCATTACACCATAGGCGCCAGTGTCAATGGGAGCTGCAACACATGGCATTTTAGCCAGCAAGGCAATTATGGGCGATACACGACTTTGTATGTTTCGTTCTTACGACTCCATTTGGCTCCGTGAGACCTAACGTGTCCTTAACACAAGTAGAAGAAGTTCAACACATTTCTATCGGTTCTCCTAGACCTTTTTAGGCTCATCAATTCATATCGGCTCACGAAGTCCACAATTGTATTCAATCATTTTATCCGAAACAAACTCTAAAACGCAACAATAAACAAAGACACCAGTGTGTTCGCAGCCGCTGGCAAGAAGATTAGAAACATCTGCGTACTGCCTACCATTCTCATGATTGCTGAATGGTCGCAGCATCCGAGTTCTCTCTACAAAATATGGTAGGAAACGCTGCGCACGTTATAACTCATTGACCATGCCACCCCCATATTGTGCTGGACCGGTGAACGTGGACACACGTGGACGTGCGTTGTGATCTCGCGATGTGCGGTCAAGCTGGTTTATTGCATCTCTATTTGTTACGATTCAATATAGCGGATCTGTCGGACACATCGCCGCCCTGTCCAGGATAACGGTGACATCGAGGTACTGTATGGCGAGATATAAACCGCGACTTGACGAGAACGTTAAGTTTTGGCACGGACTACCTCTATACCTTGGCCCAGGTACCGGTTTCTCTTTGCGTACCTGCTTTAAGACAAGCCCGGGTCCACGGTGGTCGTTCACACGGAGCACACTAACCACGGGATAACCTCCGTGATCGAACCACGAGTCCATGTTGCGGGAGAGCAACCCCGAAAGATCCAGTGTGCGCCACAGCACCACGTCGTCGGCCACTCCGTATTTGTTCTCCTTCATGTAGCGCCTGATTCCCGAGCGTATCCTGCACGCGAAACAACAAGGGCGAGTGTGCGTGTCGGTGCAACACTCGACGCTTTGGGACATAGTTGTCACCACATAACAGAAACTAGTAGAACTGGGTTTCTCGGACTGGGCACCGTGGAAACCAGTGACGTGGCCACGGGTTGGCAAGAGCCCAAGCTCCTTTTCCCCGAAATTTTTACGCCGTAGAACACAGAGCGCTGAATAAACATTTGCCTCCCCCCCCCCACCGCCCCTCTTTCATATCAAGGAGGTTACCATCATCCTCGAAGATATTTCTGCTGACGCCCCTGGTTTGATACAGGCGTCACGTGATGGACACCTTTCGGCTGCGCGAGTGGCCAAAACGAATGCAACCCATTCCCCTTTTACACCAGTTATCAATTTACTTATTTAGTAAAATGAGTAAGTTTACGCTGCATTTTGCATCTACGAATCCGCCGCACAACGCATCCGGGCATTGGGTACCAGATGATAGCGAGAGATACCCGTGTTAGCAGGACTAAAGACTCGTTGATTAGTACGCTCCACGACACTTGCAGGATTTGTGAATTCAATTTGCATGAAGCGTGCAGTGTGGTCGGCAGGCGCTTTACTCGACTCGTGGAGTGGTACTTGGAGAAATCGCGTCTGCGTATTATGGAGAGCTCTACACCAACAACGATGGCCTTCAGTATTGAAAAAGAAAGAACAGGCCACCGCGGGTAGTGTGAGTACTATGGCTGCACGCTTCGTAAAACGTTATCACCAACCCTCATCGCTTTCCCACTCCTATCTTCGACTGTCTTCATGCCGAAGAAGTTAGGGGTTCCACGTCACTCTGAAAGCCATTAGGGTTCCTAAGTACCAGGAAGCTTGAGGACATCTGTACTTAACTGCTAGACTTATGTGCGTTGACGTAATCTTGTGCGAAACGTGGACTGATAAAACAATGCCGGTGACAATGTAGGGTGGCTTCAGTTGAGTTGAACAAACTTTATTTACCCAACGTTTCTGACCGGGGTAGGCCTCCAAAGACCTACCGTTCGATAAACATCTATCAAGGCCCTTGGTGATAGCCCTAGCCCAATGGCAATGTTATCAAACGGAGCACACCATGTGAAGCGAGGCGTCAGTGTTTTCGCTTGGAGTGAATGTGGAACCTATAATCGTAACTGAATATTAGTCACACTTTCGTCGCTAGAGTGAAGCAATGAATGCGATAGCAGAAACTAGGAATGTTACGCTTACAACGACAAGCAGATCAAAACATGCAGCGTGTTGCAAATGCCCGCATAAAAACAACACACACAGGACGAGGGCGAAGTAAGATCATTTATAGATGGCCACTCCAGGTACTGTTCAAACGCGCCAAACGTAATTACAGGTACAGATGAGTGAAAATTAACAAGTGTCCCAGTTGTTACATTGTTGTGTCTGAAAAGCGTGCTCTTTTCGCAAACGGGGCCCGTGCAGCGAATGAAGTGACCTTTGTGCGCCCGTTGCCTACAACGCAATCGTTCTGGTGAAAGCCCTAGGCGTACAATTCTACTGCCTCGAGAGATAAGCGGGCACACGCACAATCATCTACAACCTTCCCCCCATCTCCTCCGCGGGGCAAACTGTACGTGGTAGATGAGTTCAAGAGCGGGTGTCACCGCGTCGTGACAAGTGGGGTGCTGAGCGCACTCTTTGCGCCATCTATCTGGTACTGCTGAAAATACGCTGATGTTTCCCCCAAGATCGGAACCAGTGAATTTAAGGTGAATGACGCAGGCGGCAAAACCGTCCGAGAGTGTCTATATAATTGCTATCACAATGAGAAGAAGCAACCAGCGAAAAACAACACGTATACAGCGAAGAAGCTGGTGGCTTCTTCCTATTAATATGAAGGAAGTCGCACAAAAAGCTATGTACATTACTGAATTTCTATCGCAATTAAATAAATGCTGCAACAGCAGCTAATAGCCAGCATGAGTCAACATTATCCTAAAGCTCCGTGATATTTTCCAAAGGCAACGAACTGTAAGCAACACCAACAATCATTAACCGATATATATCTATGAACTAAATTGACACCCATGAATAAGAGATATCTGTGCAGTCACACCGGACTCATGCCCGTTTTATCATTACCGTCATTTAGCAAACACCGGCAGACAAGATCACCGCTAATAGGAAGGGATAACATGCCGGTAAATGCAGTAGTCAAGTTAGGCCCTTCATTGCACCCCTTCGCACAATGTAGGTGTGATAAACGCCGAAAAGGATCACCTTCCAAAACTAGCAGGACGCACTCGCGCGTAAGCACACACGCTATTGTCTTCAAGCCGCTAGCCTGCTATTGATTCTTGATGGAGTCCTCATCTGTGTCGCAAGGAAATCCAACATGCAAACGCGCTTTGGCTCCTACCTTTATTCCCATCTATCTCAAATTTTTGCTAGCGGCCAATGCCCTACGTTTTCCCTTACAACCAGACTTCTTCGAAATGAGCCCTTCAACTTTATGGAGTTAAAACATTAGGCAGTATAAGCTGGCACCACCACAGGCAGCATGGTTTCCTGTATGGGAGCATGGTGGTAGCATTGTGTGCTTCAAAAGTAATTAACCACAACACTATCATCAAACACGTTGTTGTATGTATCTGCTATAGCCATAGTATGGACACACTCCGTCAGCGATCCTACTTGCTCATGCGTATTTGGTGCTCCAGTGCGACCTCGGCGAGCCACTACAGTACCCAGGCTCGCCATAGTGCGCAGAGCTATGCGGAAAGATTACTTTCCGCGTACACTAGGCAGATTTTAGACGCTGGTGCAAGCTTACCCGACTCGTTCATTGGAATCGCGGCGCAATCACTCAGTCCTGTGCGGCCATTAGCTGAACAGTACCTCAACGGAACCTTTGTGTCGCGTCAGGCCTGGCTTCTCCGCGCTCTGGTGGAACATTTGACGTCCTCTCGTACCACGTCATAACGCTTCGCGAGTGCCGGCACAAGGAAACCAAACGCGCAACGCTGTGCTCTACGGGAGCGTACAGAGAGACACTATACACATTCAGTTACAACCTGAGCGTAAACGTAAGTTCCACCTGTTGGCGTCACTGTCCCACTCCATTCAATCGCATTTGCTCATTTGCACGGCATCTAGCTCCTTTAGCGTACTTGAGGTAGGGGATTTGTTTATACAGGTAACGGACGCATGTTCCTATGTCTGGTTTTCGGTTTAAAACTCACACTACTGGGTAAATTTAAGCAATTAATAAAGATTATGGCATCGCTGGTCTGGAAAACTTGATATTTGAGGTCGGAACTGCAAACATTTAGTATTGTGACGTTATACTCACATCAGCAGCGAAAGAAAGTACTAAGAGTTTAACAGAAACCAACTAGCGCGCTCTCTGTACACATAAATTGCACAGGTGCCACCGTTCTCTGGTAGCAGGCTTATATTCAATATGTGTTGTAAGCCGACTAAATACAAATTCCATTCAAAGTTACAACAGTGACCCTAACTCAGAAAAAGCAGGACGGCTATGCCATGCATCTTTAACAAATAAGCTCTGTAAATACAACGTACGTCATGGGGCACAAGTCGGCCAGCATCGAGAAGATCAGCGTGGTTCGCAGAGCTCCACTGTCCGTGCCGTTGTCGTCACAGTCCATTGCATCGCGATAGCTCAGCAGCCGCATGCGGTCCTCGGTGTGACCGAAGCCCATCTCTTGAAGTACGCGGCGTCTGAACATGTACGCCAGGGACTCGGCAATCCACGCGTCCTTCAGCGTGCTGCGTTCCAGCGGTACGCGACCAATCAAGACTAAGGCATGTCTGTGTCTTGCTATGTGAACGATACTGTTAAGCACACTTGTTCTCTACTGCAACGAGAGTGCAGGTGGCAGCGACACCCTTGTACACCAGGGACCTGTAGCTGCTCCACAGACAGCCTCCTCCACAAGAGCCACGTTACACTCGAGACAGTACTAGGGCAGCCGAGCCTGAAGTGCGCACGGAGACGTGTCAGTACGTGTTCGAAGATTCTCGTCTACTTTGTACGCAACGTGAAAAGCCACGAAGAGGCTCCCGTGGTCGCGTACGGCCACCTCGATGTGTTCGCCTTTGTCGCTGCGGTGAGCAGACGCAGCTTTCCGCGGACGTCATCTTGGCCAGCACATACCCCATTACTGGCACTGCCCATCATTTAGCGATGAAGCACCCTAAGCGAAATCTTAGAAACTGGGCTCAGTTTTTTTTCCTTTGTGATGACAGGGCTTGCGCATACATTCTTTGTAACAAGATAGCCATATTATTATTACCAGAAAATCCTAAGGCAGGCGCCCCTATTACTGTGAAAAAAAGTAAGACAAATTTTGATGGGCGAACGGGAATAGGGGGCAGGGCTTGCTCTGCTCAAGATGATCCCCTCCGTACTTTTTCTGGGTCAGAACATCCTTTGTTGCATGCGCAAAGTCATAGCAACGCGTATTTTTTTTTTTGTTATTCGCAATAATGGTGATCACTTAAGGCCCCCTGATGTTGCATTCAAAAGAATGTTTTTTTTTCCCAGCTTCACCCCGGCAAACCGGAGCCATTGAAGGTTGTTTGTGATAAGCCCATCATCACTTCATTAAATCATTGTGGAGCTCATTTTATTCCATAGCGAAATTCTGCTAGGATATGCGAAGACGAACACACTTGCTGGTCGGCGCATATCTTATCCCCACACTCTTGCGCAGAATCTATTACGAAATTCTGACACCAACAACAGCGCCTAAGTGTTTAGACTTTGCCGTCTTAGAACGCATGCTCTGGCAGCGCCCTGCGTTACGGCTTGACAAAGCGATACATGGTTCAAGATGGCTGCTGCGCTACGCATCCTGATATAGAAGCACAACTATAGGCAGTCCAACTGACCGTTACGTGGGGTATAGGCTAGGCCTATCTGTCCCGATTGTGAGAGTGGCACGCTACGTGGTGACACCCTAAAAACCTTCAATAAAGTTATTTCATTCATACGACTGAAGCAAGGGGAGGAGCGCTGAGGTGGAACTTCACCTACCCGTAATAACCTCTCGCCAGTGGCGTAGCGATGGGGGTGGCACACCAGGTCACGCCCCCCCCCCCCTCAAACTTCTTGCCAAGGCTTATCGTACATGGCTGCCAAATTACAGTCGCCTACATCGGCCAGGCCCAACCCCTCTTCAGATAAGAGAGGTAAGTAACCCTCTCTTCCCCTCTCTCCCGAAAAAAATGTTTCCCTGTGCCCCAGCTCTGTGCACTGTTATAGTTTTTACGGTCATACTTCAAGTAGGACAGTGAGTGATTCGGCTCACCGGGGCGTGGCATACGATAGGAAGAAACGTCGAAGTATGCGCTGGACAACCGTGACGACCCAGCTCTCTCGCTCCCAGATGTCGAAGGCTTCAAACAAACTCTGCCGGAGGCCGACGAAGCCGGCACCGGAAACAGTCCATCTCCAGCATGTCGGGTGCCACCACCAGGTCGATCACCTGCAGACTGCTCCTCCATGTTTCAATCTGGTCCTCGAGGAGGCTCACCACTTTCTCGATGGTCTTCAGCACCAAAGGCCGGTAGGGAGAGAATCTGCACGGGAATGTCACGTTTACAACGGAGCTGTCAGGCTATCTTCTGGGCCGATCATGTCCCCGTACAAAACCACCCTAGTAAAAAATGGCTACGGCTTAGCTCAGCCAGGAACGTCAAAGCACCCCTGGTTGTCAACATTTTCGTAGAACTTAATTACGGCGTCACTCATATTCGTATCGTGGTCTTTGGACGTTAGGCCCCTGACCGCCGGTTGCACAAACAAAACCTTGTTCGCTTGGTTATGCTTAGTTATACTTTTTTACCCTCGTAGCCCAAGCAAAAATTGCTGCCCGACGTATATGGCTATTCGCCTTTTTGCACAATTTTAAGATTACAATAACAGCAGCACGTGTTGCTTCCCAATAAACTTTTGCACACTTCAGTTATAACTTTCTGACACCGAAGTGGGAATCTTGTTTTTTGAAGCTCTGCTTGAGTAAGGAAAAAAAATTTCCGCGTTCAGGTAAATCGATCGCGCTCATAGTTGAAACACAAGCTCTTTTAACGTTGTGTGACATTGAAGAATATATTTAGAAATCTTTGGCCAGTTGCAAATCTTGGCCAGCTACTCGCTGATGCTTTTGTTCGCTACCAATGCTACTAAGCCACGCCAGAACGCAAAAACGAAGGCCATCTAGGACTTGCGTTTTTGCATATCGAAATGAAATGTTCTGTATTGCGTGCACTCACTGCCGTCATTTTGCCAGTGTGCGAAGCCGTCCACGCAGTCGAACGCGACACGTCTCTTTGACCAAACACTGCAAAAGTGTCAGGAAAAGCATGGCTACTAAAACTTGCGTTATAGCCAATGACTTTCGGCGGTAACGCTGCTAGTTTGACGGTAATTCACAGGTAGAGAAAGAAGACTGGCGACTGTGATGCGGGTTCTTGTTGCTGATTTGTTTCTCCTGGTGAGCCCCGGAGAGTTTTCTAATAAGGACAAAGCCGTTTGCTTAACAAACAACACCTAAACATTTACTGCAGAACTGAAGCAAAACTCAAACACAAACTACAAGAAATGAGTAGCTGGCTAAAAGAGGGGATTTAGAAGGAAAACAAACATCTAAAGTCCCGAAACTGCCGACGGAAAGTCACAGCTACATGATGCAGTTCTGACGCGGTGATTCGGCGGTGCAGGGAAGAGAGCAAGTTCGATCTCACCAAAACGTTGCTGCTGTAATGGTGGCGACGGCGTGTACCGATGCTCGCTGGCGGCGACGATGGAACGGGACTCGCTCGGTGATGCCTGTGGCGGCCCAGATTCGCCCGATGAGGTGGCTGGTTGCAAGGCTCAGGCCCGTGACCCGAACTGCCGTTGCTGCACCCGCACCGGAATCTGCAGGCCTTGGTCTCGACCGTTGAGGCAGCTCGCCGTCCTTGGAAGGCGTTGTCCGGAGGTCCAGACCGGGTGAAGTCCAGAAGGCTCAGGTCTGCCACCCGACTGCCTGTCTTCAGCTCCCAGCTGTGACCTTCCTCTTGCCTCGTTCACCTCGAACTCATCGTGCTCACATGTTTTCTCGGACAAATAGCAGTTACGCTATCCTGTGAACTAGAATCCCCTCTCTCTCTGAGTGAGATATACGTATGGTCTAGGACCATTGACGTGGTGCCTGCTGCTACCTCTGTCGGTACAAAACAATCAGTGGCCACTATATCAGAGCCTTCATGGCATTCGCTGCCATCTTCCCAATGACGTTCTAGCGCTCCTTCCATGGAGCTATTGAGAGGTAGCCCTACCCTTCCCGAAATGTGCTCGGCCTCTGCGACGTTCTGATACACACCTCATTCTGAATGGAGCGTCTTTGTTCCCTGCTATCGAAGCTTTGCTCCACAACATTTTCCACAGCTTCTAGGTCGCCATATCCAGGCGCTCTTCTTCATAGGTGCTTGGCCTCTCAGAGGTCCCCAAGCAGCTAACGGAAGTAATATGTTCCCAGCCAGAGGAGCTTTCCGTCGCTTCAACAAACTCCTCATGACTCCTGCCTTCTTGGCTGTCCACCTCTCTGCCTTCCTCTATCTGAGCTTCTCGCTCCGAAGTAAGGCTGTCGCGAGGCTCGAGGCCAACCTTGCAGGAATCGACTTCCCTCCAGCAAACGCTGCTATCGGAGCAAACATTCACCGCTTGCTCGACCTTCTGCATCGCCAGCTGCCCCCTTTTCGCCATCGCAAGCTCGAGTCGCCGCTCGAAGTCCACCCTCTCTAATTGGAGCTGCTGCTTCAGTATGCGTGTCTGACGCTCTAGCAACACTTATTTTCACGCGTTACGCGCTCTAGCTCCTCCTTCTTAGCTCTAAGCACCAATTCAAGCTTTTCCTTCGCCGCCTTTCGTTCTGCAGCCCGTTGCTCACGCTCCCTCTCCATCCGCTCCTCGTACCATACTCTAAACTCTGCTCCCGTCAGTCCCATTTTATCCGCCAACTCAATTAACTCCCACGTGTTCGTCATCGTGTTAACCGCGTCAAAAAATCTACTGGAAAAACAAACGACTTTGTCCTGTCGCGGACGCCAGTTTGTTTTTTTTTTTCCGTGACGCGCACTTTTCGAAGGCGCGCACTTTGAACGCGCACCACACATCACATACGCCCCCCTTTTATTCAAGTTTTTTTTTTTTTTTAGAAAAAAAAAAACTGCCGATGAGTGCGCGTTCTGCACTACGTCACAATTAAACCACATATTTGCACCACGCAGTTCAACACATCACCGGGCTACAGTTCGCTACATCGTCCAAATGTCCACACTTAAACTTTAGATTCACCCAATTGCATTTAAAAGTTCTGAAACCCGGAATAAACCTTTTTACTACAAAATCGACTATGGACAAAGCTACTTGTGTCCGCATCTAAAAGTCGAAGTCCAGAAAGAGCTACCGGTTTTCTAACCCTACACTCAGGTTATCGCGTCCCAAACCAGACGCACTGCCCTTCTCGCACGTTTCGAAAGTAACTGTGGCAAACATGCTTTTATGCACTTTCGCTGAAACGCGTGTCTGCGCCCCCGCCGGCCACATGAACGCTTACCGGTCACAGAGGAACAGGGCGCGGTCTCGAGCCGTCGGCGTCGACACGAAACGCACTGAGACACGAATGTCCAAATGCCACAATCTCTCACACAAATGCTTTCTTTTAGTTCACCATCTAATGAACACAAGCTCGGGGTGCCCTCAGCAAGCCCAAACGCTCCGACAAGCGTGTGAGGTTCCTGGATTCTTGAGAAGGGATGCCGTTGTGCTCGGTCATTATACAGCTCATCTTGAGTGGACTTAATTATAGGTTCAAAACCAATCACGTTCTCAGGTTCAAGACCCTGTCTGGCATTCTCCATACACAAACTGGCGTCCGCAGCGACAGGACAAAGCCGTTGGTTTGACACCTTCATTTATTGACGCGGTTGACATCATGTCGAATATGCGAGAGCTAATGGCCTTGGCGGATCGCATGGGAATTGATGGGGCGGATTTTAAAGCATGGTACGAGGAGAAGGGAGGCACGAGCACGAGAGGAACGGGCTGCGGAACGAGAAGCTCGAAAGGAACAGTTGGAACGGGAGACGCAGGCCAAGAAGGAGCAGCTTGAGCTCGAGACGCGCGAAAAAGAAAAACAGCTCGAACTGGAGACACGCGCAAAGAAGGAGCAGCTGGAATTAGAGAACCAAAACCTGCAACTGCGTCTTAGACTTGCCGAAGCTGAGAATAGCCGTGTAGAGACAAGAACTGTTGACTCAGCACCAGCTCAGCACAAGAAAGGAGTGTTTCATGCAGCGTGAATCCTCATAAGTTGATACCGGGATTTAATGAAAGCCGGGACGACTTGGACGCCTATTTAAAAGGTTCGAGAGAGTCGCCATCGGTCAAGAATGGCCTAGGGACAAATGGGCCACAGCTTTAAGTTTATGTTTGAGCGGAGAAGCCTTAAAGGTGTTTGGAAGACTTTCGCCGGAGGATTCACTCGATTATGATAAAGCCAAGTTGGCGTTGCTCCAGCGTTTCCGTTTTACGGCCGAAGGGTATCGGGAAAAGTTCCGACAAAGCAAGCCACAGGACGGCGAAACAGGCAAGCAGTACGCAACTAGGCTACTGAGTTTTTTCGATCGTTGGGTCGAGATGTCGAGGACCGGAAAAGAATATTCGGCTCTTCGCAACTTGATAGTTACAGAACAGTTCTTAAGAAACTGTCATCACCGTTTGGCACTTTCCTGCGAGAAAAGAACTTCAACAAGCTAGAGGACATGGCCGAGGCCTCAGATAACTTTTTAGAAGCTCAGAGGCAAGTCAACCTGTTAGTTTTCCGAGAAAAAGTGGAATCTAAAAGCAATACGGAAAAAAGTGGTAGTTACTCGGAGAGAGGAGCAGTACGTTGTTTTGTATGTGGCAAAATGGGTCACAGGGCATCGGAGTGCCGATCAAGGCCAAAACAACCTTTCTGTGGACACGTCGGAGACGGGAGAACGCAGGCTGGTGGCGACGCGTCCGGGAACTAGGGTCGACCTAGTCAAGCAGCTGGGCGCACAGCTCGGGCCCGGAGCCCGACGGCTGTAGCTCGCCTGCCGGAACCAAAGTCCGCAGGCCCTGGAAAGGAGTTCAGGACCGGATGGCCACGGTCCTTTGGAGCGGGAACCCGACAGCAGGAGGCCCCGGCCGGTGGAAGTCCTGTAGGCTCGGGTCCGGAACCCAACGGCCCATCTTCAGCGCCCGGTCCGGTGACGACCTTCCGCTTGCACTGCCTGCCTCGAATTCCCCTTGCTCTGGTCCCCCAGGCTCCTGCTTCAGCTCTGGCCCACTTGTCTCGTTCTCATTGGAGATACTCCTGTTTCGTGGTGTCAAGCCATTGGGCCTTGAAATCTCCGTGTTCGCTGCCCATTGGATGTTTTACCTTTTGTTTACTTCACGTCCTGCCACGCATCCTCGTGCTTGACGCTCTTTAACGTCGTCATTCTTGTTTAAGCAGCACCGCACGTGCACTCTGGTATTTCTCCTTTTGTTTTTTTTTTTTTCCGTGACGCGCACTTTTCGAAGGCGCGCACTTTGAACGCGCACCACACATCACAGCGACATTATTCACGGAGTGTCCATTCTTCGTTTCAAGACCACACAGATTTAAATGGTGAAAGTTTCTCGACTAGGCCCTAATAAAGTTATCACTTTCGAAGTTCTCGATGGCGGATATATGCTGGTTAACACATCATCACCATCATCATTATTATAATCATAATCATCAGCCTGACCACGTCCACTGCAGGACAAAGGCCCCTCCCACGTTCCGCCAGTTAGCTCGGTCCTGTTAGTGCTGCTGCCAATTTATGCCCGCAAACTTCTTAATCTCATCTGCCAACCTAACCTTCTGTCTCCCCCTAACCCGCTTGCCTTCTCTGGAAATCCAGTTATAGTAACCCTTAATAACCAGCGGTTATCCTGTCTACGCGCTACATGCCCGGCCCATGTCCATTTCCTCTTCTTGATTTCAACTATGATATCCTCAAATCCCGTTTGTTCAATAATCCACTCTGCTCTTTTCTTGTCCCTTAAGGTTACACCTACCATTTTTCTTTCCAATGCTCGCTGTGTCATCCTCCATTTAAGCTTAACCCTCTTGGTTAAGTCTCCAGGTTTCTTCTCTGTAGCTAACCACCGGCAAGATACAGCTGTTGTATACCTTCCTTTTGAGGGATAGTGGCAATCTACCTGTCATAATTTCCTGTCATGATCTGTCATAATCCACCTGTCAAATAGTGGCAATCTACCTGTCATAAACGGGAATTCGCCTAAGAAATTGGGTATATGAAGAAGTTGTGCATCCATCTCTTTGTATCGCCAACGCCCAGCTTGGTCTGCTCGTGCCTCTGATCGTTGCGGTGCCTCTGAACGGTTCTTCACGCTGCCTCGCCTTTTACAAGTATCCCGTCCTCCGATAGCCAATTAACCTTATTACATTTGTCGGAGGGTGCTGTTCGTCTCCGTCGCCACATCCTCCGATAAGTCTCGTGGCAGGTACATCCTATTACTCAGCACTGGTTAACAAAAAATAAAGGCAACAGTTTTCAAAACAAATGGCTGTGAATCGGGGGTCGCGAGCTGAAGACCCCTAGTGCGCACAAAGAGAGGAAAGTCGTCTACGAAAAGACTTCGAAACAATAGAAATACGCAGATCTACGAAAGGTACGAATGCTGGCTGTCAGCGCCAGTTTTGAGCGCCTCTAGAGTTCGGGCTGTCGTGTCTGTGACTCGTCTGTGGCTTAACTCAAACCCGCCTGCACTGAGAGTCAAGGTATAAACAACCTAATATCCCGTAGCTAAAGCATAGCAATGACTTACCGACAACATTGAAGCAATCAGATTAGCCTTCATAATCGCCTAATTTCACTCATGCCTGACTTCACTCAGTGGAGTACTCTTTTTTTCATTTGTCGATTTACAGAGGCGACACGACGACGGGCAACATATTGTAATGCCCTTACTTGTAGGCTTGTGAAGTCTCTCTGAATAGGCAGAAAAATGGGTACCTTTGATCTCACTGCTCTAATTGTGTGCTTTAATTATAAAATTATCAGCACTACGCTATCAGCATCCCCTTATATAACTCACCAGCTCCTTTATGCGTTCACTTAATACTACTTGAAAGAGAAAGGCACCATCCTTTTTCTTCTCAGTCAATGCAGTGATTCTGCCCTGCCATGATTCGAAGGCTATTCTTCAGTTGGCATAGTTTTGCATTGCTTCAAATATGGGAGGCACTTCACCTGATTTCGCATTGTCTCAGTGATCAGACTGCATTTGATAAAGTTAAGGGGTTATATGACGACGTCATCACGAGAATCGACGTCATGATTATGTCTCATGCTTTGGAAATATGACGTCATCGCGACGTCATATGGTAACGTCATCAACTGGTGATGATGTTTGCCTCACTCAACCATGACGCCGCGAGACGCCAAGTGTCACAGGCTTGGGACGCCTGCAGTTGAATTTCGCATTTGGTGAGACATATAAGGTTTTCGAATCACCATTTCTGCAAACGACACTTTTACATTTCAAGGCGACTCAAAAAATATTAGACTTGATTAATACTCAATGTCACTTCGAAAGTCTTATCAGGCCCCTATGCCATGCCAACAAAGTTATCACGTAATAGTAGTAGTATTTCGTTTTACCTTCTACTAATTTTAATTGGAACAGAAACACGCATACTTACGAAGTGGGGGACCACAGGTTCATCCTGCCACTCTTGTCGACGCTGAAATTGGTGAAGATGGCAGACAGGAGGTACGCCGACATGGGTTCCGTTCTGCAGAAAAAAAATAGTGTTTCGGAAAATAGGGCTGTTTTATTCGTAGCCAGGCCTGAGTGATGAAAAAGACAAGGAAGAAGACGTGAGAGAAGATAACACCTAATTAAAACAAGAGATAAAAGTGATGAGGCTGCCACATTCGCGAACAGTGACACAAAAAGATAAAAAATTGTACTGTGCGTGTGGAAGCGCAACAAGCACGCTGCAATGGCTGTGCAAACCAGGAACAATAACTGCAAAAAATCATTGAAATATATTATTTATGCTTGTGTATGCACCTACTGGCATCCTGTAGTGAGTTTCACGTTAATATACAGGGTGCCCTAGCTATCTTTAGCCCGAGTTCAAAAATATGCCGACACACGGAATTCCCGCGCGACAAAATGCATGTCGCTAACTCTTGCCTGGAGATAGTCCGACTATTCTTTGTGTGTTCTAAAATATTGTTTAATTAGTCCTGTTTAAGTAACTAACTTTTCAAGGAACAAAAATAGATATAAAGTTTCAATGACAAAGTGTTAGATCAGTTTGCAAAACGTACGATTAGACAGTCTTGAACTTTGTATCTGTTAATTAATGTTTTTCTGCTAACTACACATTCCCATGAATTACCGAAAGAAATACCACATGACAAACAAACAGGCGTGCCTACGCGCAGTGATTCTAGTACTCTCTAGCGCTGCGCGTACGAACGATACGCTTACCTCGCACCAGTTCATGACAGCGATAAACAGTCACAGTGGTTATCGATTTTGTGACCAATAGCAAAACGTGTTCATCACAAAGCCACCACCATCGTTGCGGCCCTATCGAGACAGCACAATTGGGCAAATGCTACGGCCATTCATACGTAGAACATCAGAGAGCACTAGAATCATCGTGCGCACTGGCGCATGAGTGGGTTTGTCATGTGGTATTTTTTCGCGCTTTGTACGCATTTGTCGTTAGCAGAAAAAAAACTTATAAACAACAGATCTAAAGCTCGAAACTGTCTAATCGGACGTTTTGCAAACCGATCTACAACTTTCTTATTTAAATTTTCTATCCATTTTGGTTTCTTCAAAAGGTAACTAATTAAGAACACTATGTAGGCAATACTTTAAACGCAAAAAAATAGCCTGACTACCTCCAGGCAACGGTCAGCAACATGCATTTGGTCGCGTCATGATTACAGGTGTCGGCATATTTTTTATACTATGGCGAAAGATAGCTAGGGCACCCTGTACATATTCCTTTAGGTCATTACTTTTTGTATTATTCATGCAATGAATCTGCTTCACGGTCATTACATTCTACCGCACTGAGAAATAAATACTCATCACAAGAGAAGCGAGAGTGAAATATGGTATTGCATTGTTCAAAATCCTTTTCATGATAATAAAAAGTCATTGAAATATCAAGTCTCGTTCAGAAATCACTCGAACTGTTTTGTACAGTAAAGACATGCTCCATTATGAATAAAAGCACACATTTACTTTTCATCATTGTTTCCTAGGTTAAATGCACGTTTGCCAGTCCATAAGTAGTGTCGTTTCCTCAATCCACCAGAATTTGACTTCAACACTCAACCACTGAAGGCCATAATCAAACACGTCATTGGTGAACGTGGCGATTATTGAAAATCGTTTGCTCGGAAATTCAAATAGGCCCCGAAAATGCGAAAAGCGCCAGCAAAACTCTGAAAGCGACTCCACAAAAAAAACAAAACAAAATACGATGCCCAAATTCGCTTAATAATCGCAGTGCCCGTGAACATAAGAAAGCTCGCTGTACAACTGAAATGGCACCCGAACAAGGGTCAACCCATTTGTTAGCGTGGTAACAGGTTGGACGTGGCGATGTACGGCCCGTGCCCTTATTATCTGGTCAAGTCAGAATTTCATGCCAGTACCCCTAATAAAATGGTAAGACATAATGCAATCTTATCTCTCACAACTATCCACTCTTATCTAGATGTTATCTTGCATGGAGTACATGTGAAACAAAATGACCGCAATACCAGCTAATCAATATCAAGATAATATATGTCGTGTAATACCTTAGTAACACAATGAAGGCACCTTCAACGAAGCCTATCTTCCTGACATACTAACTCGCATGTAGTACTTCTAGTACCAGTAGCAGCTTACCTCGCGTGTAATACCCATAAAAGAAACCACAATGCCAGCTATCCCATCTTCCTAGCCAGTATTCTCGCACCGGCTACCTGCAGAAGGCATAGACTGTACTTCCAGCAAGTCCCTCTTTCTAGTATGCTTCATTTCTTATGTAGTTCTTGTGGAATACATTCATCATGTATATTATCTTCATGTTGGGATTGTGAACGGCATTTTATGCTTGTAGCAGTGTGAATCTGCGCTTTTTTTGCTAAACAGTATCTTTTATACTGCTGTATAACCTGCTCAATACAATTTTTAATTCCTGTATGTTGTTTTGTCCGTTGTACTGCCCAACCCTCACCAAGTTCTGGCATTCAGACTCACAGTATTCTCCTAAATAAATCGCCCCGCCAACTGACCTTTTTCATAACATATTTCGAATGTAGTGCTTATTGAAACGATTGACCACACCACCAGCTGAACAGTCTTCCTAAAATACAATCTCGCATGTGGTACCTGTGGAAGACATAAACAGTGCTGCCGTTGGACTCCTTCGTAGTATACTCGATACTGGCCGTGGAAGACGCATGCAAGTTTTCGTCGACCAGCAGGCGCACGTCGAAAGTCGTCTTCCATCCGGGATCTTTGAAGCACGGAAAGGTCACGAACGCGTCTAGTTTTCTGCACAGCCATGCCAAAGCGACGACAGTGTTAGCGTGTCAGGTCAAGTATTCGTTCTGTCTTTTTCTTTTTCAAAACGAAATTCCGTACTTGGGAAAGCTTTGGGAGTACAGACACGATTTGGAGACACCCCAAAAGAAATATTTCTCTTTTCCGCAGCGTGCACTACCAGTGCTCTTTTCACACCGGAGACGGACAACACGTAGAAAATGTGTCACTAATATTTTAAAGTTTTCATCACCAAGCATCTCCAAGCCTGGCCAAACTCCAAGCCAGGCCAAACACAAAGGACATTATAACGGCAAGTGAACACAGTTAACAAAGTTTGTCAAATCTGCAACCTGTATGTGGCCTAAATCGTGGTGTCTCTGGACCACCATTCACTCATCGTTAACGTGAAACACGTGTGACTGATAGTAAGCTGACAGCTGTTAATATGTCACGAATCTAAGTTTTCCCGTTACGCCAGACTTGTGTTGAAACGTCACTGCGAGCCCGCCCATTTAATAGCTAGAACAATGTCCTATTTTTAAAGTAAAGCTATTAAAAATACATTCAATGCATTCTCAAGCACCATGGCATTCTGTAAGAAGTTCTTGACATCCACGTTTATACATAGATCAAGAATCCAAAAATAATTAGGATTTGTGTCAGTACTCTTGCAAATAGTCAGAGTGGAGAATAAAGAGAGAAGGACGAAGATGTTAACTGGTTTGAGTGTCCTTTTCTCGACAGTCCTAAATGTTGTCAAGTAGCCAGCCTCGCCTTCTTGCAAGACCTACCTTGTGACAAAACACCTACATACTGGCAATCCTATTGACGAAGAGGTACGCTGTGTGCTATCAAGAGCAAGACTAAAGCCCCAACACGAAAAGTTTTGCCCTTAGCGGACGTAGTTAAAGCACTAAGCATGACAACTCATGACCAGAATTTGGGTGCAAGCGCGCGTAGCGCCCTCTTTCGTACATAACAGCGGTGGCCGACATTCACTTATTAGGAAATGGCCACGAAAAGCGATACGATGCAAAAAAGCTGGTTACCAAAAACTAATCTCGGCTATATGCAGGCTAGAGCCACTGGAACAATGTGGTAAAAATAGAGTATCGCACTATAAACTGCGAGTCTTCACAGAGTGCTTAGGATACTACAATGGTGTCAAATGTGTATCCAATGGACAGTGTTCAACTTTTCTGGGAAGCCACACGCTTCGTTGTGCGATTTTCCAATGGTACCAGAATGTTCCAACGCCTCCGCACACCGTAAAGCCGGGAGTCGTTTTTGGTAACTGGATATATTTGGCTCATGCGATTTTTTACATCTATTTTTCATTCAGTTATGGCAGGACACCGTTGCCGCCGCCCAGAGATGGCGCCAAGTACAGATGTCCTCAAATTGTAGGATTGTACATGAGCGCTCCAGAATATGTGTCTCAGTGCACCTACTGTACTGGTTTTGCAATAATCCACTTCGGCCTGAATAACCGATGTTAAAAAACGTGCAATGTTAAAGCTGATATTTTATCAATTCTATGAATACTGGACTGTAAATACCACTTCATAATAGGTTATATTAGAAATGACGTTTGCTGTTTCTGTACAATACGATATTCGATATGATCCATTTTTTACTCTGATTTTCATTGTACTTGGCCTCAAAACAAACTTTCCTTTTGCCCCTACTGAGATTTTGTGTGCTGTCAGCGTTGTGTCCTGTTTCTTCTGTGTCTTTCTTGTTGTTATTGCGCCGTTTTTTTTATTATGAATGCACACATCAGCTGCACGAAAAAAAAATAACACCAGTGGCTAAAAAAAGTTGCTGCCGCGTGGTGCTAGTTCTAAAAGGCAAAATCATCTTGCAAGCTGTTAGCCCCTGTCGCCTAAACTATAATCAACGAAAGAAGAATTTTTAGCAAGGTGTACTTCTACTTGCTAGAGATACTACCAAATGCATTCAACACTCCACTAGGTCACGAAGAGCCTAAGAGGCACAAATTGCTCTCCTTAATGGCATTTTAGTAATTTTGACACATAATATAACAACTTACATCATATACAATACACTACACTTAAGAACAACAATTATTGTCTCTCGCGCCTTCCTCGCGCAATATGTCTATTGCACTCACTACTTTGCGTATAAGATGGTAATAAGGTTATCAGCACAAATGTAAACGATTCAGACCGTATATGACGTTGCCTGGGTGTGCTTGATTATCTCTCAACAAACATGAAAACGACTTCCAGAAACTTACGTCAGAGCCCAGCGAGTAATTTCCTTCCGAGACGCTGGGCTGTGTGACATTTCATGATAGATAGCTCTTATTCAGAATATGCTCAGGAGGAGAAATTGCCGGCCGTTTAAGCCAGGCTACTCCGCCTGTTGCAACACCCACCCCCACCACCACATATTAACAAGTAAACTTTCACGAATATTTTTTTTTTTCGTTCGTGAATATAGTGCTTGCTCGTGGACAAGACATCGAAAGATAAACTCACCGGGGAAACATGAACAAAATGACCTGATCACCCACTCGCTTCAGGACCAGGCCATAGTCCTTGCGAAGACGCCCTTGAAACTGCACAGTGAGGTTGTACCTGCATTCGGTGCCACAGGCGCCTAAGGTATGCGCATTTCAAGTGGTATTTTATCCCGAACCTGCGAGCTTCGCATAAAGACAGCTTCGTCCTAGTTCAGTTGTGGAACCAGAGTTCCTGCTACGAACTCGTTTAAGGAGATTCCCAAAAAGGCAATGGTGAAAACTATGAAAACACGCGGTATGGAAAGACAGCTAAACATCGACGTCATGCAATAAGCATTTTTTCTTCTAGAGTACCTTCGCGTTTCTTAAAGCGAAAGCCTTCGATTCCTCATCAAAACGCCTAACTTGGCCGTTGGCGTGCGTGGCGCCACCCTGAGCGATGCGAAAAATCACCGTCACGTGACGACGTCGCCTTTGATGTCACTGTAACGTAACAAGTTTGTAAAACATGTGACGTCATCATAAGGCCCCCTATAAGTGTAGAATCGGTAAATCGACTGGTAGGCCCTAACGACCTTTGTCTTCGAGGCTCCTAATCATATGAAGATTCTGTAGTAATTATTCCTCGCTGGCTAGCCGAACTACCATTCGTTCATCTCATACGCTGTGTACGGGCAGAAGCTGCAACGTTTCCAGGCTAGCGTGCAACAATCTGACACCGTGGCCCGTGAACTGACAACTGGGCCACGCAAACATACACTGGTACCCACCACTCTTAGCTTTAATTCACCGCGATTCAGCAGCACCATCTGTGTCTCAAGACAGCCAGCAAGACTACATCTGAGGCGGTGTTGTAATTCACGAGCTGTTAACTTCATTGGAGTTTGTGGAGCGAATGGTTCTTTGGCTTCTCCGAAACTCGAAGACAAGAGCAATCCCCATTATACACCGTGTCGAAAGGCTGTGTTTTGTCGGCTTAGACTAATTTCCATACTATCCAAACTCGCCTATCCCTTTCTTTTTTTTTAAACACTACCGTCAGCTCTTCCACCCCTGCTATCCAGAAACATGTGTGAATTCTGTAAGTAGTAGCTTACATGCAAAAAATAAAAATAATTAAAAGTGCTTACGTGCGTCCCTGCCTAAGGAGGTGTGTCGTTTCGATGACAACCTTGCTGCCGTTTCGGAGAACACGTGTGACGCGAACCGGAAACGATTTCCACCTCAAAATCGTCGAAACGATTTCCAGCTTCTTGGAGCAGTCGAGCATGATCTGGAGGAAAAACAGGAGTGGCGTAAAACGACGTAAAACGATACATTATTATTATGATTATTATTATTATTATTATTATTATTATTATTATTATTATTATTATTATTATTATTAACTCAGGGGGCTTATTGTTTCAAAAACACAATTTCATTATGAGAGTCGCCGCAGAGGAGAGCTCCGGAAATTGCGACAATCTGGGGTTCTTTGACGTGCATTTAAATCTAATCACAGGGGCCTCAACATTTTCGCTTCTACCGAAAATTCCCCTCCCCCCCCCCCCCCCCCCCGCCGGGCCAGGATTCAATGCCGTGTTCTGCGGGTCAGCACTACAATACCGTACGTAAGTATTGGACTACCATGATAAAAAACAATAATAATGTAACGTAATGTAACACTAGGTTTGAAATGTGCGCTGTCACTATGAGGCATTGTATTGAAGAGGTGCAGAAATTTTGAACACCAAGTGTTTTGGCGTGCACTTACATCGCATAAAACATGGTAATCTACCATTTCGTTTTCATCCCAGTGCGACCTCTGTGGCCAGGAGTGAACGCATAACTTGCAGGACAGAAGGTCGTATGAAAGACAGTGAAGATTATACGTCACATTAATTACACTAAAAAAGGTAAGGTTGTCTGCCAATACGGCGTACTTATAAGTATACCTTTTTGTCCCACAGAAATTGCGCCAAAGCTTTAAAGTACGCGAGAACCATGCAGTTGGAGGACCAAAGAAAGCGACTGTTGTCTGTCAACGCTTCAAACGGTTACCTTGTATGCCACAGTTGTTCCATTACCTCATACATTTCTCAGACATTACAATTGGACTGAAAGCTTCCGCGAGAAATTTGTAGGCGTTCACCTTCAGTCCATCATTTTTCTTGTGCACATGCCAAAGGCATATTATAGCCAAGCGCGAAACGTTCAGAATGGCCGAAGTGACCAGTTGCCAGATCGGCTAGAGTGCCACACGCCCTGTTATATTTTTCCCGAGCACGCCAGTATCCAGAGTGCCAAGAGCATACCATTTTCTAAAGCAGGGGTAGCCGGCGGGAGGCATTCGTACAAGCAGCTTTACCTTGGCAACTGCGATGCAGATAAGGCTACTCGCAGCTTCAGCAAAAAAAAGAAAAAAAAATAATATCGCGTTATATGGCAACATCTACCGATAAGCAATAAACGAGCATTTCTTGAAACGTGGGCTTTTGAATGGACCAACAGCACGTTTTTCGTCGTCTTCCGGCCACATCTAAAATGAAAAAAAAAACAATAAAAAAAGAGAATGCGCTTGGCAAACTTGGAATCGGCGTGCTTGTGAGCAAGAACGCCACGTGTGGCAATTTTGCGGCTAAGGCACACCGTTCACTTGCACTAATGTATTTCCGTTGAGACAGTACTCTCGGCATCAAATGAAACCCGAACAGCCACGAGCATTTCAAACGGTATTGCCCGCCCTGTCATCCCTAATAATAGAGACGAGCATCTGGTTTGGCAGCACTGTGCAGGTGCGGGCTTCTCCATGGTGATAACCAGACGACTCGCGATTATATACCATGACGAATGCTTGTCGCTGTTCAGGTTTCATTCGATGACGAATGTATGTACATACAGCAATAGTACTGACGATCTCGATTTTTTTTCAAGACGACCTACCTATACTTTGCGCTCTAACGCATTAACTTTCAGTGCAGCAATGCAATATTCGTGTAAGTGTGGCAGCTAATGTTTTAAATGGCCTTCTTTCAAGCAACTATCTATGCGCACTTGTTTCACATGTTTGCTTTTCGTGGCGGTGCTTTCTTTTGTTGTTTGTGGTTTCAGCCTGAAAGTGTGCTCCAACATTCTTGCTTTAGGAACGCCAGGAAGGCCATTGTGAAAAGTACGTTCTGGCTTCATTTTCTGTCTGTTTCTTTCATTTACTGCTCTATACCAATGGAGGGGTGCAGGGCTGCGATGAAGCTTTGCCCTTCCTGATGAGGAAACCTACAAGAGTGAGCAGACATTTTCGTGCGTTGGCCTCCCTTCTTTCGTGCAGAGGGACACGTGTGGGTGATTCTAATGGGCTAAGTAAGGACATCCTGTGAACAGTGAATGACGCCCATGGAGATGTACAACGTCTATCGGCCAGGAAAAAGGCCTGTCTCGTGTACAGTGACCCGTCCGAATAGGTGTCGGCGATTGCCCCACAACAGTGGTTATGGCACTAGACTGCTCACCCACGGGATCGAATGCTGGCTGCAGTGGCTAAAATTTTATTCAGGCCCGTGTACTTAGAGTTGGGTGCACGTTATAGAACCCCAGGTGATCAAAGTTTCCGGAGCCCTCCACTACAGCGTCTCTCAAAATGATGCCATGGTTTAGGAGCCTTAAAGCTACATAGTATTTGCACTTCGCTTCATTTCTGAGCTAGGACCACCCTTTCTTCAACTAAAAAGCCATTTCGCCCTAGCATAGGCTTGCAATAGGGGGCCCTGCGTAAAACTCCCCTCCTCCTAAAGGAGAACCTCGCGCGCATGTGCGCGTTCTACACTCCAAGTAAAAAAAAATAGTATGTACGACTCTTTCAAGTAAGCCCTGACATAGCCACGCATATGACAATGTTTAAAGAAACTCGTTAGCAATTTTTTGTTCCTCAAGGCGTCACAAAGAAACAGAGCGCAATGTAAAATCGCGCAATTTCAGGAATATTTGCATTTCATTTCTGCATCTAGCGCACAACGCTAGGCAAGAACCGGGCGGAAATCTGCAAGTACAGGCACGAGCCCTAATCAGCTACCACGCGGTCCTTGTCTTGCGCTAGATGCTGAAATGCAAAGAGAATGTTGGTATGAAAGCGGAGTGCCTCTTTCTTGGGTCATATTTCTCGCAAATCATAAATCGTAATTTTTATAAGTACACAGCGTAAGAAATCGGTATATATTTCTTTGCAGCTCTGTCCTACCAACGAGTGGATACCAGTATTCATTTTCTGAAAGCCTGCTTCACATTGCGGACCTTCGCCCACCGGATGTTGCACTTGGATGTATAAGGATACAGGGTGGAGCTGTTTATGGAGCTCCCACTCGCCTGTCTTGCGTTGTGCTGGATTTCAAAGACGGCGTTCACGTATCCCTCGTAGGTGTTGTTCTTGATAGAAGGGCGCAGCAGCAGGTCGTAGTGCACGGGTCGCCATGGGGACGCAGCTGCAAAGGATGTATTGCTCTATCATCACCACTTCAAACACTTCACAATAGTTACTGAGGCAATGTCGCTCCAACACGAAAAGGCTGCACAAAGCACCTCGCAATTGATGCTGCGATGAAGAAAGTTCCCAAAACGCAGCTACTAATGCAGTGTTATGGCAGTGTTGCTTAAAAATTCCGAGATACGTAATGTTTCATGCAGCCTATTCCACTTTTTATTCCAAATCGAACCAAGCAAAATAACATGCATAGTAACCATGATAATACACATCACTTTGTAATGTGAGCAAGATCTTAGGCGTTCGTCTATTTCACCAACACACATTTACTGGTCATCTTCATATTATTTTGAATGCCTGTTAACTTGCCATTTAATGTGTCGTTTACATTCATGAAATCCTGCGTATTACCATAGGACCTACTGAACGCCGGAATCTCGAGTGTGAACTTATATGGCTATTATAAGGCATGCGCGGAACCCACTCGTATTTATAAAACTGAGTGCAATCTTCTTTGAACTATGTTTTATGCACACGTATCTCCGTTTTTTCCTTGCTTTACATGGTTCGCACGCACTGGCAGCGCATGTGCTGTGTGTGCACATATGTATTGGCTTGTTGTTCTGAGCAAATAAACATGGTGTATTCTCCACTCTTTTCCAATTTTTTTTCTGCTTGCCTCAAACGTACTTGCGCCACATACTCACTTCATTGATACGAATCAACTAGCCTGCAAAGAAAAGTCTGATTCTAACAGACTTTTCACATTCAAGAAGCTTCGTATCTGAAAAATCTGTATCGATTTCTCAGAAAGAAAGCGTCTGGTTGTGGTTGGGGATAGAAGGGAATAGAAGACACCAAATCTCTGCAGTGGTAGAGGGAGAGTATAGGGAGAAGTGCCCTGATGGGAAGAAAAGGGAATATAGAAAAGTAGAATGATAAAGGGGTGAAAGGTGAGAGCACTCAGAGCATCCCCGCCGCCACAGGGGAAGAGGCTGCTGCCACAACAGCAGCCAGGGATGAACGAAGTCCTCGTGAGACAGTGTGTCGAAGAGGGCGCGTGCCGGTCTGGAGCCCCCGTATGGACTCCTTTGTGGCTCTGTGCTAAAAGCAAGTATTTGCGCATTTCCCCATTTCTTCTCGACGCATATCACTACAGAAAGAAATCGCAGCATATTCACGGAGTGATTGATGACGAATTGAATCATTAAAACCCTCTGTAAATTGCCCCTTCAATCATGAAAAGACGTGACAACACGTGTGTACAGTATATACAAAGTTGTTTATTCATCACTGCGCGCATTTGGTGTTAAGCACTGCACGCATATGGTGTTGAGATGTCCATATGGATATTCATATTGATATAAAATCTCATACGGCTATACAAATGAATCATATGGCATATCATTCATATGAATCCATACGGATAACATATGGATGATTATGTAAATACCCATACTAATGTGGACAACCATATGGAATTCCATACGGATCTCAGCAATGATATGGATATTATTATAAATATCCATATGTATATGGATATTCATAGCATGTCACGCCGACAGACAGGCGACATGGCTCGACCCTAAAGCGCTGCGCCCCTGAAAAACATCCGAGGCAGAACATGCAGGTGACCGCTTTTGGTCAGGATACCATGATTCGCAGCAAGGCTGTGCGCACGTACCAGCCACCAGAGTCCAGTCGGAGACGTCCGTGGTTTCGTTCGTTCCACCCTCCGCTCCGGGCTTGTACTCCTCGAGCTGCAGCAGCTGCACTAGCGCCATCACGGTGGCACTGATCAGCGAAACGGCCGCCAAAAGGGCGACGGACATGATGAGCCTCTCTTGGAAACCATGGTTCTGATCTGGTCGGCCAAGAAATGTCACGCTTGAAATGTCACGCTATTATTGTTATTTTTTGCGACGTGATCCGTGAGTCACACTCTTTTTTTTAATTACAGACCCGTAAGTAGGTCGTGGGAGACGCGACTCTCCGAAATAGACTTGAAAACCAATTCACCTTTTCCATTATATTGTCCTGTCATCTGCCGCCATATTAGGATTTTGGTTGGGGCCGAGGCAACCGTTACTGCGAAAATGAAACCCTTGAGCCATCTCATCATTTATGCGTTAGGGAATGGTTGCATGCGCTGTATCATCGTGAACAGGGTGGATTTCCGGCCTCTGACTACTACCTGCGATGCGCAGTTGCCAGTGACGCCCTGGACAATGGTATCCACCCACAGGAACCAGGAAGCCTTCCTTTTTGGTGAGGTTGCTTTTCTCTCTTTTTTCATTTCTTTTCTAACCGCTTTAGTTTTACAATTATCTATAAAATGTTTGTAAAAAACAAATGTGGCGAAAAATTAGTGAATCTGTTTCATCTGAAATGAATACTAAAAAGGAAGAATGACTCAGATTACCCTGATAAATTTTAACATTAGTGTCAGTATTTCACTACTTTAGATTTGTAAATGACAAAAGCATATCGATATTCGAAATTGCCGGTCCTGACGTCATGGATTCCAATGTTTTCTCTTTTTTTGTAATTTGAGCACATTGGCTCAACAAAATTCTTTGAAAGACGTTTTATGTCTTTTGATACCTTTGAACACAGTACGAATTTCATTTTTACCTAATCTATGATGTCAGACAGATCTCTGACGTCCTCTTGACTGGTCCCGAAGCTTCAAGGTACTGTCGCCATCCGCATTCTCTTTTCGTGTGTTTCCTCGCTTAGCAAGCGTTTTCCGCACCAAGCCATTTGAAATTAGGACACTGGTCAACTTAGCGAATAGTAATGGATCCTCATGATATTCGCCGAACTCTCGACTGTATTGTGTTCGTGACGATAAGCAAATCTGATTCATGCCAAACAAATATAATGAATGGAGAAGAATGGCGATTTGGGCTAGTTGGTTTGAATTCATGGTAATAAGGGCTGCAGCACGAGCACGAAGGTGCTAGAGAAAACAGACGAAAGGCGAGGCACGGAAGGCAAAGAGGACAACACGAGCGTTGACTACCAACTGAATTTTATTATTCGCAGCACACATGATAATATATACAACAGGCAACCTTTTAACAGCAAATGTGAGCAACGTGACATATTCTGCGTGACATATTCTGGTAGTCAGCGCTCGTGTTGTCCTCTTTGCCTTCCGTGCCTCGCCTTTCGTCTGTTTCTTCTAGCACCTTCGTGCTCGTGCTGCAGCCCTTATTACCATGTACAATGAATGGCCCTAACAGGCGAAAATTTGTAAACACAAAGGGACAGTGGTGCTCAGCGGAAGCCTCAACGATGGAGTGCGATGTCAAGCATAGCTAGAACGCCATCACCAACGTCACTCCATCTACACTCGGTGCTCCAACACATGACCTCCTCCCACGCCCAACTCCACCCAATTACATGCACCTCCTCTCTGCATCTCCGCTCAACCCCTCCTGCACCATGCTTCATCTCTCTCCACCTTCAGCTCCAGGACACGAAGACAAGCGCAGGTGACATCTTCGACGCCAGCGTTTCATGTCTGTGTTGCGCCGCTACAGCCTCATCAACTCACTCAACTCTCTACGCTACTGATCACGTTCCTCCACTAGTCACCTACCATAAACTGTGTTATACCCTAGCTCCTCATTTTCATCCATCTCACCTTCACATCATTGCTCGTCACCCTCGTTTCTTTTTCCCACCACTTGCAATAGTACACTGTGCATGGATATGACAACTTTTACCCTGACCCCTTCTACTTTCCTTCCTCCTCGCTTACCTTTTTCACCAATTGCTTTAGTACACTATGCACGGCTATCGCATGCCCCTGGCCCCTTTTACGTTGCTTCTTCCACCCTTCCCTTTCATACACCCTCTCATACTAAGCTATGAATGGCTATGCTAGGCTGAGAACAGCTTTGCACATACCCGCTACGCTATAGTCGACTTGATGTTTAGTGCACAGGTGAGTGATAGGGCTGCTTCAATTTTCGTAGCACATAACTGCTTTGTCATGCCGTAACTACGAACAGTAATATTCAATCGTCTATAAGAAATCCGCTGTGAAATATGATTTTCGAGTCTATCTATCTACTACTCACACCTGCATACTTCGAATTGACCATGCCTAGGACTGTTTCTCTACAAAATTCTGGCGCTCTTGTTACCTAGTAATACGCCGCTCTGCTGCTGATCCGGGCGGGTTTGATCGAGATTTCGGCGTTTGGATTTCGACAGAGACAAAGTCTTAGGGGTAGGCACAAGATCTGTTCTATTTCAGTGCACATTAGCCAAATCCAGGTGGTTAAAATTATCCAAAACTCACTCATACAGTGCCTCTCTTAGCCTGAGTAGGTACGGCATGCTAAAATTCACAATGCGAACAGCCATCTACAGCAGTACTAATGAGTGTTCTCTTGTTCATTAAAAACTGCTGGAGTTAATCATCATGTTTATCGTGGTTTCGGTTCCTGTTTTGAAGCTGGTTGGCTTACCTCTAGGGGCGTTGTACATATGTATATATAGTGATGATTGCGTACACTCTAAGCCAAAAGGGAGCAACAGCGGTATAGGGGTTGCTCCTTTCAGGGAGCAATTGCATTGCCACTCCCATTACTCCCCTAAAAAGAGTAACTGCTGAGGGACGAACCGTTGCTCTCCTTTCAGTTCCTCCTTCGGGGGATTAACAGTTACTCCCTCCAGTTCCTCCCTGCGAACCAACAGTTACTCCTACCAGTTGCTCCCTGCGGACCAACCATTACTCCCACCAGTTGCTCTTCTAAGAGCAACAGTTACTCTTTACCGTTCCTCCCACGTGTTCGCAGTTACTCTCTGGAAACCAACTGCACATGATTCCAGTTACTTTTTGGGGAAATGACTATCTCGAGTATGCTTGTCACACGCTTAACACATGGCGAGAACTCCTTGGAAGAGCACTGCTTGGGTGCTTTAACACAAAAAGTGGACAATATTGAAAGGAAAATAAATGCTTTATTGTTCTTTTTATGAGGCGACGTGTGAGCACACATAAAAGCAGACTTCGCCTCACCACAGCCAGCACTAAACAAGCACCATAATACATCAAAAGTTTTCTGCGACATCCGTGGAAAAACAATCTTGAATTTCTAGCATAGGGCAGTCTGTGTCATCATTGGTGAGAGAAGGGCAACTTCTCCAATTCTGAAGAACTCAAGTTTCGCAGCTGGTGTTTCCATCAGGCTAGCGCAGCGGAATGTCACTGCAGGCATATGTGAAGCATCTCATTACTGCAAGAAAAAAAAATAGAAGTGTGAAGTTAAACATGCCAGAATCAATACATAACAATGAGTCACACACACTGCAGCAGCGCTTACATTTTAGGATATCTACTGCAAAACGAAATGTGAAAAAAAAAGAAGGTTCGGCCAAACGTTACTTGGCAGGCCATATAATTGCTGATGTGGTAGACGCTCTTCACATGATGTCTCAGATAGCAATATTCCGGAAGAAAATGAGCAGCACCTCAACAAGGCATATTTGTAACAGTTAAAGATACCCTTAGGTTCAGTTAACTTGTTTCCTATACACAGCTGAGTGACATTTTTATGAGCCCATTCACCAATGGGCATTCTAAGTGAGATCATGTGTGGGGCAAATAACACGTACCGTCCGCTCATGTTAAAATACTTATTTAGCTCGTGCACATAGTTGCTCTCGATTCTACTGTTCTATCATATGCTGCTGCGTCTTGAATTGTGCAATACCTGTAGGCACAAGCCAAGCATGCAAAGCCTGCTTGAAAGCAACCATTTACAGAGGCTGCATGATAATCTTCAATATATTTGTTTGTACCTGATGCAAACGGCTGGACAAAACTATAGACAAATGAATGTATACCGTGCTACCTTCAAAAAATGATTTAAATTTAGTAAACTAGGGTGCATTTGTTCACTCGGTTGACGAGTCACAGCCACGAGATATGTGAACGAAGCAATATATCTTAAGGCATGCACAGATATTCTGATTCTTTGTTTGACAGTGTCACAGATAGCTTGCCAATACATATATATCTGAGAGCAACAAGATGTGAAGCTTTTATTAGTTCAACGTCTTGTTGCTTCACAGCCAAACAGGTTACTGCTTTGTTAGACAAATTGAAATAAGCACACCGTGGTTTCCAAAAAAAAACATTATTAGAAGTTAGCTCCCGGTGTGAATGTCTGCCTATTTATTTTGTACTGCCTTCTACATGTGCCACAAAGACATTTGTTGAGGATGTGCTACCAGTCAAGCCAAGATCGCATACTTCGTCAACGTGATGGAAATACAAACATTAGAAACACTGCCACCTCTAGTAAGAGCATAACACTTCAGGATCTTGGAACAGCAAGGAGGTGCACAAGAAAGTTAAGCCCACTCTTGCAGAACTTTGAACGCGAAATTTTCAGAGTGGGGGAGGTCAACATGCTGTGGCACTCTTAAACCCACGAAACATCTGCAGAAAACAGGGTAAAGGCAAGTCAAGAAACGATGTTATGAAGGCCTGCACATGGACAGCTTTGTGAATCTAGGCCCAAATGTTATGCTTTGTGCAAGCCAAAATCCATGTAAATAGGGAAAGCGTACGTTAAGGAGCACCAGCGTAAACAAATCTTGGCAGTTGGCTTTCTAGTACAAATAGCAATCCCTGCAATGAAAACATAAACATTTTATCTTAACGGTAACAGTGTGAGCACACACACTGGCCAGCGGAGCCATGTCAAATTGTCAGTGTCAGTGTAACCATGTGGCATGATGAACTATTCTCTGGCCAACACATGCACACTTGGCCCCTAAAAAGCGATGCTTTCATATACGTAGTACA